TAAAAATATTAGTTAAATTTAGAGTGAAATGATTCACATGCGTTTATAGTAAATATAAGAGATGATGAATTTGAAGCACACATGTAAGATGGAAATTTGAATCTTCCGTTAAATAATTATCAACTAGGTAATCACAAAATTGCAAAACTCTATCATCTGGCATAATATAAAAAAGTTCTTCAGAAAAAAAGTCATTAACATCATTTGGATCTAAATAAGGAATGCAGAAAAACAATTTTAAATATTTTCCAATAATAGTTTGATCTTTATATTCCGAGGACAAACTTAAATTTTGAATTTTTCGGTACCAATTTTGTGTTAAATAAAATTTGCAACAAAAAATAATAATATCGGGCCACACCACCTTAGCTGCATTTTGAATTGCTATTTCAAAATCAGAAATTATTTACTTCGGTTTGAACTTTAAATTAAAATCTGTACATTGTTATTAATGTATCAAAAGTACTTTTGTACGATTGCTGTGATTTATTTGTTAACAAACAAAATACTAGAGGAACATAAAAACCATTTTTGTAGCCATGTATAGTAAACATCTGACAAAAATATTTGGAACAGTATTAGAAAGTCCCATCTACATACAAAAAAATCTGCGTTACACAAAAGTAAAGATTTGTGAAACAAGTAAAAATTGCGGAATTATTTTTCGTAGATAATAAACAGTTTTCATCTGTATTTGTTTTTAAATTTAAGTTTACTAATACTTGTAGAACCTCTTTCTGTGACTTGGGAAATAATGGTGTGGATTTTTTTTGTCTTACAGCACAGATATTTCTTCGAACGCAAAAAATGTCTTTCGTCGGCAGCGGTAAATTGCTGAAATTTTCCTTCCTCAATTCCTTGTGGACAATCTTTAAAGGTCTTTCACATATATCTTCTACAGCTTTCCTCTTTGAAAATTACCAAACATTTGCAAGTGAACATGGATATCTGGAGCATGATTGTGCTCCACCGATGCTTTTTTAAGAATAACGTAATTTTCATCACCTTCCTTTGTGTACACTTTTTGTTGACACCCTTTTTTGATGCATCGACATCTAACTTTTTCATCTTATAAGACATGGGCCTTTGAATAGTTATATTTATTAATTATTAATAAAAGTTCTCCCCTTGGACTAAACATTGTCGTTGGATTCGCCATTTTAAAGTTAAACACTAACGGACAAAACTATACCGTAATACTTGCAACTGAAGTGATTAACTGAAAATATTTATATTCTTACTTTTAACTACAATCAAATTGGAATTTCCGGTCATTAAGACCCAATCCTTAACTTTCTCGGCAATGGGGCAACAGGTATATACATATATATATATATATATATATATATATATATATATATTAATATATATATATATATATATATATATATATATATATATATATATATATAGATATATATATATATATATATATATATATATAAATATATATATATATATATATATATATATATATATATATATATATATATATATATATCAGTTTTAAAACGTTCTCCTACGTCTTCCGATGAGTAGTCGCCATTCACTTCGGTCCATCCAAAGGTCTTCATCTAATTCTCTTTCTCTGATACTTTCTTCTCCAACTAAGGCGGGGTCTTCCTCTTTTTCGTCTACCATGAGGGGTCCACGTTAGGATTTGTTTTGGGAGTCGTTCTTCAGACATTCTTTGTACGTGTCCATACCATAAGCTGTTTGGTACTAATGTCATCTACTATTGTGTGTTTCACATTCATTATTTCCCTAATTCTGTTGTTGGTTAACCTTTCTAATCTTGCTTTTCCTGCTGAGCGCCTCCAGAAATACATTTCTGTTGCTTCAAGTTTTCTCTTGTATCTTCTTTTATTTGCCATACTTCACTGCTGTAGGTGATTATACTCTTAACAATTGTATTGTATAATCTATGTTTGTGTTGTTTGATATTGCCTGGTCCCACAGTATGCTATTGAGAAGGGTAATTGCTTTTCTTCCCTGGTTGTTTCTTTCTTCTATCGTCCGGTCTACGTTTCCTTCTTGTGTGATGGTCATACCCAGGTATTTATATGCGTCGCAATGTTTAATAATTTTTACAAGTACTTGGGACATATTATTTAAGTACCTAGGTAGCGTGGTGGAATTCGTAGTCGCCCGTATATTGTGTCAAAAATAGAAATCAACATATCTAAATCGCGCTGAGATATCTTTAGATAAACATAAAATTTTATTATTATAAAATCAAAATTTTTTCCTTTTTTTTATATATTTACATGTTGCCCAATCCAAGCAAAATTTTTATTAAGCAAGTTGTGCTACTTTTTATTATGAACATTTAGGTACCAACTTTGCTCAGTAACAAAAAGTTAGTAGTCATAGTCAACTTTTTTGGGTTTCACCTTTGATTTAGAATATCAGTAATACGTGTTTAAAAAGGTTAAGGTGAATTTGATAAATCATAAATATACCATGAGGTCCATATGTATGGAATATATTTATTTGTAGCGTTTTTATGTGAAAGAAAAACCTGCAACAGGTCGATTTTTATTTCTAAATTGACAATTTACAGAATGAAAATATACCCCTTCAGCAACCCCTTTGAATTACAAGCACCCCTTCGAAAATTTTAAATAACAAAGGGGGTCATGAGACACCTTGTTAAAAAGGGATTTTAGTCCCATGTTCAGCAATATAAAGTTTTTAAAGTTGGTGCAATCATAACTGGAAAAAATAATTTTTAAGATGTAAAATTTTGATAATGTCTTTATGGCAAAACCTGAGGTTAAATGAAGATAATAATGTCACATAATATTTAGAATGTATTTTTAAATGTACTTTACAATTAAATCCAATGTTTAAAATGACCACCATTCACTTCTTGACAATAACCGAGGCGATTTTGGAGTTCTCGTATAACATTTTGTACGACCTAGGGGGTTATTTGTTAATTTCTTTCGTTATCCTAACTTTTAAATTAGCAATACTGTCTGGTCTATTAAAATATACTTTATATTTGAAATAATCGCATAAGAAGTAATCGAGACGAGTCAGATCGGGGGATCTAGCCGGCCATTCGATCGTTCCATGTCTTCCAATCCTATTAGGAAACAACTCGTTTAAATAATTCCTAAACATACGTTCAAAATACGGTGGAGCTTCGTCTTGTTGGTAGTAAATAGATCGATCTGTCTCATTTGAATGATTAATATCAGAAAAAAATCTTTTACTGATGAAGGCACTAAAAAGTTAGTCAAAAAATCTAGATAAAACTTACTATCAACTGTGCCACCAAACGAATAAGGACCAATAATTTTATTGTTAATGATATCAGTCTAAATATTAACTTTTTTAGGATATGCGTATAAATCTCACACACCTAGTGAGGATTTTCTCTGCTACAATATCTACAGTTCTTTTTGTTAACAGTTCCGTTTAAATGAAACGTCGCTTCATCAGAAAACAACTATTTTATTTATGAACTGCAAATCTGCGTTTATTCTGTCCATCATCACTTCACAGAATTCTGACCTTCTGTCAGGATCATCTTCGTTAACTCCTGAATCAAACTCCTGAATCAACTGAACTTTGCAAGGGTAATATTTTTCTTTATGCAAAACTCCCAAAATAGATGATTTACTTACATCATTGACGGCGACAAGTTCTCGAGTGGTTTTATGCGGTTTTCCTCAATCTCTAGAAGTACATCTAACTTTTTTTCATCAGTAACATTTCTACCTGGTTTAACATTTCTACCTGGTTTTTTAATATTCTTTACATGATCAGTATAACGAAACTTCTTTTCAATTTTGCTAACTGTAGACTGCGAAACTTGTTGATCAGAGTATTTATTATTAAACATCGTAGGAACCTCCTTTTGGGTTCTTGTTTTATTACGTCAACCAACCATAATTAAAATGTTTATTATTTTAGGTTCAGACAAATGAGCTACAGTACAATTTAATATACGCACAAATGCTATACTGACATCTTTTAGTAACTTTAAATACCTAAATAACAGCGGCCTACTAGATTCATATCAATTGTTTATTTGGCGTTTTGACTAATATTTTATTATCTTCAAAGTTTTTTTCCTAATGTTTAGCAGAACAGATACGAAAATTCCTGATTATTTCCCAAAGTATATTTTAAGAGACCAGGCAATATTGCTGATTTAAAAGTTAGGATAACGAAAGAAATTAACAAAATAAGTCCCGAGGTCATACAAAATGTTGTACGAGAATTCCAAAATGGCCTCGGTTATTGTCAAGAAGTGACTAATGGTGGTCAAGTTGAACATTTAATTTAATTGTACAAATCAATTTTTTCAGTTATGATTGCACAAACTCAAAAACTTTATATTTCTAAACAGAGGACTAAAATCCCTTTCTAACAAGGTGCCACATGACCCCCTTTGTTATTTAAAATTTTCGAGGGAGTGCTTATTATTCAAAGGGGGTGCTGGATGGGGATAATATTTTCATACTGTAAATTGTCAATTTAAGAATAAAAATCGACCTCTTTCAGGATTTTTCACATAGTACATAATAACGCTAAAAATGAATTTATATCATACATATGGACCGCATGGTATAATTTTGTTACTCCTAAATACCACTTAAAAATTATAAAAATTATAGACACTGTAGATAGGTACATAAAGTTTATTGCCTGAACTATATTACATCATTTTTTTATACAGGTATCACGATAAAATCTAACAATGATAAAAGATTTCCGTTTTACTAACAATACACAGTATAGTTCTTGTAATTTTAGATTGTTACAAATCGTTGTATGTATTCGACGTATTTGTTAGTAAATCTGGCATACCTGTATTTATCAACTAAGATGCGGGTGTGATGTTTGGTTAAAACATAAACCCTGGTAATGCTACATAATATTTATAATTTAATTGTTAGTTTTGATAACACTGTGATGATAACCTCCGTTCTATTTTCGTGATAACACGAATTAAAAATTTAATGGCTGTTGATTTGAGCCTAATCGTTGTTAGAAAGATTACATTTACGACTGATGTGTTGATATCTTCAGTGAGGGTAAGTGTTCTATTATTATAAGTTTTTTTAAAGTGTTCTATTAATAATCGCAACTAGATTTAACATAAGCTTCAGAATAAAACCTAAGTACATAGCTTTAAGCGAGAAAAAAAGTCAATCAGTTGATAAAGTCAAATCCGAATTAAAAAGAATAAAAAAGTTAAAATAAGCACTTAACCATAAAATTTCACTTAAAAAAAGCATGAAATATACACAAAAAATCGTACAAATTTTAACAAAACTTAAAACCAAAATAAAATAATTTTTTTTCTTAATACCAACTAAATCATTTAATAAACAAATAAGAAATTACACTTTTGTAAAAACAAGCAATACTCCAACTAAATCATTTAATAAACAAATAAGAAATTACACTTTCGTAAAAACAAGCAATAACTAAAGGTTGGTTTAAAAGTTCCATTGTCACATTTTGTCTTGCATCACTTAAAATGTTTTTATATACCTACTGAAAAATTCCTTTCTTCATCAACACTGGTAGTCTAAGATAATTATTTTTGAACAAAAATTTTATTTCGTTAATTTATTTTTTAAATATAACACGCTGCTCATGACGTATATGCATGTTTTTTATATCAAATTAATATTTTTTTCGTAATATGATGATATTCAGGGATTCTACAGTATTCACTGCCTTCCCTCGCTCAACCGTTTCCATCTCTCTCTGTTGTCCCATTCTGCATCGTTTAGGCCTCTCTTATTCATGGCATCGTCTACTTCGTTCCTCCAGGATCTTCGGAGTCGTCCTCTTTTCCTCCTTCCTATGGGGCTCCATTTGGTTATTCTCTTTATCCATCTGCTGTCGCTTATTCTTCTTACATGCCTATACCACTTTAGTCTTTGTTGTTCTATATACAGAGTGGCCCAAAAGTCTGGAAACGGCCAATTATCTCGTAAACTGCTAGTCATAATTGTACAAAATTTGAGATACACCTATTTTGGGATACGGAGATTCCATATTTGGCATTTGCAATGTTGCCAGATTTGCCGTTTCTCTAATATTATTAGTAACTTTGGTTTTTCAAATGCATCACCCTGTATATTCAGTCATTATTGGAATCTCCTATTCAATACGGGTCAACCATATGTAACACATATGACTTTATGTAGTCTGGAAGATCTTAAATACATAAAACAGAAGTCTGCCAACGCCTAATTGTTTCAATAAATGTTTTTAATACTAACTATTTTCAACTACACTAAACCGTAACAGTTGATAGATGAGATATTTTTTAACATATTAATTACGTTATTTAGTTTTCAGAATGTGTTCAATTTGTGAGTTGACAGTACCTTAATCGATGGTAGAATGCGTCTACCACATTTCTCCATGATTGTCTAGAAATTATTCATCGATAATTCGTTGACTTAGCTCTGCAAGACTTGCTGGTTAAGTTTGGAAACTGAATATTCAAGTATCCCTAATAAAATAATCTTTAGGATTGAAATCGGTGAACGTGGAGGCCATTCAACTCTTCAACCTTGTCTACGCATTTATCGTCCGGGAAATATCTCATCTAAATAATTTACACCAACTATCTGATGTTAAAATTCCTTCGATAAAAAATGGTCCAATTCACCTACTATACCTGACCATTCATTTAATTTTTGTGGTCTTTGAGTATGGTTTTCACGCATTCAGTGTGAATTTCACACGAGTTCAACTCATGGACGTATAAATAAAGATGGACCGGTCTATTTACATATTTACTTGAAGTCATGAGATATTCACAGTCATAGGCACAAATCCCTAATTTGACGTTGTCATATTATTTTTTTTTCCGAGTCAATCTTCGAAATAATTTTCGATTTTTAGTATAATTTATTTTTAATCTATAAGTAAAAATGTATTATCTACTTAGTATAAACTATTTTTAGATATACTCATTTCGCAACCAAGGAATTAAAAGAAAAAAATTAATTTTTTAATTTATTAAAAGAAAATATATTCTGATAATCTTAACTTTTGTAAAACTTGGCATCATTGGTAATATCAACCAATCCTAGCGATTTGGCGAAAAAGAAGATGGCGTTGTTATTGTTTACGTTTAAGTTGATAATTTCCTTTTTGTGATATTTTAGTGAATTTGTTAATATATTTTAAATTAGAATTGAAGAATAGTTTATAGTTAAGTGTAATAATGGTGCGTTACTGTGTTGTATGCAAGAAATCTTCATATTTACATCCAGAACTGTCATTTCATTTGTAAGTACTATAAACATCGAAATTATGTACATGGGCGTAGTACAGGGATGTGATATTACTTAATGCTTGACATGAATTGAAGTTTAATTTTGTAGTATTATAAATACATTTATTTATTTTTTCTAATCTACACTATAATTGCTATAAATATATTAATTTCAATGAAATATATGCAGGTTCCCAGTAAAGAATCAACTGCTGTTCGATATGTGGTTGTCTGTGTTTGGCTTAAACAAAGAACACATATCAAAAAATGCTACGGTCTGCTCAGAACACTTTAAAAAGCATGATCTAATTATACAGCCAAGTGGACGGGTTATTTTGAGGAAAGGAACTGTTCCAATAAATATTTACCATAAATCACCAGAACCAAGGTAACTATAATGAATTTCTATGTAATTTACCATACAGAGTATAATAATTATAAGGCTAAATTGAATTTGAGTACAATGAACATAACCTTGGCATCGAAGTTGCCACATTTTTTTGTATAAAGTATAGGAGTTTTTAAAATAGAAAGATACTTTGACGAAATTATATATAATGTTTTAAAAAACTTATAGAGAAGTAAAATACTTCACATTTGTATTTAGGTATATATCTAAATACAAATGTGAAGTTTTTTACTTCTGTATAAGTTTTTTAAACGATAGTATACAGCCAACTACTGTGATTTTCCCATTAATTTTTATATAATGTTTTGTTATGAGAAGCCACAATTTTTGAATTCATATTAAAAAGCATTCATAAAATAGTATTTTTTACTTTAAATATAGCTAAATATATAGTGTATTCTTTTGTTTGATCTATTTTTTTTATTTTCATTTAACTTTACTTTATTCTGTAGTTTTTAAAGTTTCGTAAACTATTAATTTTTACCTTAAGCATAATTTTAATGGTTTTTATTATATAAGTATTTTTAAATGAAGAAATGCAAGATATTTAATAATGCAAGAATTTTATTTTATAATATTTATAGGTATAATTTTAATGCTTTTAATTATATATGTATTTTTCACGTTTTTGTTTAATTATATATGTATTTTTCAATTTTAAATTTTCATTTCATATCATGGACGTATAAATAAAGATATACGTCCATGTTTCATATAATATAAATCTTGCCCATAGTTTTATATGTGAGAGTGTGAAATAATTGAGTATATGGTAACACTGACGTATATTAAGCTTACATTTAAAGTCAAACATATCTATAGGTTATGTTCATTGTACGAAAATTAAATTTAATCAAAAATATAATGCATACTCGTAGCATATTCCATAATATTGATAGCATGCCTTTTTTCTTTTTTTTTATTAATTCAATGTTCCAGTTCCACAAACGATATGGAAAATAAAGAAACAGCTTCCAGTAGTATTGATAAGGATGATTTTTATGGACGTTCAAAAAGGTGGGTTTGTATCGAATTTGTTTATTAAATTTACAAATAAAATCTAAATGTGGATTTTGATTACCTATTTCATTTTAAAGCAGAAGTATAGAGAAAGTGCAGATGAAGTTAGCTACAAATTATTGACAGATTGTAGTTGGCAGTGTTGCCATATCACAAATAAATCACGAAAGAGCATGCGATATAATATTAATTAATGTTACTAAACATTATTTTTAAGTTTTTAAAAGAAGTTTAATTAATTTAAATTTAATTTATTATAATTTAAATTAACTTCAATTTTTTAAGCATATATTCAGGTACCATTTCATAACAAAATTATAAGAAAATAGTTATAAAATTAAAATCTGCTGAACATCTGTTGCAATCTAGCAGCTAGTGTTTTCAAAGTTTTGACAGTATTGCCAAATTTATTTGCTAATCTACCAAAGACCAATTATATTTTTTTTCTAGTAACTAAGTGCAACTAATACCAAAAGAAACAAATATTCACTCGTTCGTATTTTATATAAATTTAATAAAATTTAAAAAATACCCAATTTCATAAAATAATATAATACAAATGTACTTTTTCAAAGCATATCTGAGGCATAAAACATATACATAATAAGGACATGGCAATACGGTAAACACAAATTTGACATGACATTTATAGCTAACTTCATTGGCACTTTCTCTATACTTTTGCCCATTTTAATATTAAAATTACTCACACTATTTTAGAAAATTTATTGATACTGAAGAATGTAATATGGAGATAGACTTGGGATTTAATGTAAAATCTAATTCTCCTAAACTATTAAAAAGGAGGTAAGTTTTGGCTAAATTTTGTATGAGATTATTTCAATCTTAAACCAATTTTAATATTTTTCTTTAATGTACATAAATTGAATATTCTAGATGTTTAAATGACAATGAAGACAAGGAAAATATAGATCTAGAAAATGCATCTTCGAGCACCATTACAGCATCAGAAACTGAAACTGTAGAGTTGTTACTTGGTGATAATACTTTTTCATATGTTCCACGTAATATTTATAAAAAGTGAGTTTTTAGTTTAATTTATAAAAACAAGGATTATGATTATCTAATTAAGTATATGTTTTAGAAATAAAACCGTTGAACAAATGTCTAGCAGCGATTTTTCAACACCTGAAAAGGCCAAGAAACATATTAGAGTGTTAAAAAATACTGTCAAGAGCCAAAAAAGTAAAATAAAGTATTTACAACAATCTGTAAGAAGACTAAGAACAAAAATTACATCTTTAGAATCACTTTTAACATTATTGAAAAAAAAGCTATTGCTTAATGAAAACTCTGAATGGCCATTGAAGGTTAGTGTTATTTGTCTTGATTTTTAATTAATAATAATATATTTTTATTTTTAAGGCTTCACTACCAGGGGCCACTAACGATATTTTTGAAAAAATGTTAAAAGGTCCAAAGAAACAAAAATATACTCCAGCCTTAAGAAGTTTTGCACTCACATTATCATTTTATTCTATGAGGGCATATAAATATGTTAGAAAAACATTTAATCAAACATTGCCACATCCAAGAACAATTTCAAAATGGTATCAGTCCATAGATGGTAAACCTGGATGGACACAAGAAGCATTGAACACACTGAAAATTAAAGCAAATGAAGCCCAAATGGCAAATGCAAAAGTTCTTTGTAACCTGGTGTTGGACGAAATGTCTATTCGGAAACAAATTGAATGGACTGGAAGTAAGTTTTGCGGTTATGTGGACATTGGAACAAACCTTAATAGTGATGAACTTCCTGAGGCCAAGGAGGTATTGGTTTTTATGTTGGTTAGTTTAAAACAGTTCCTGGAAGATACCTGTTGGGTATTTTTTATTAAATGGGACAACTGGCTCTGAGAAAGCAGCATTAGTTAAAAATTGCTTAGAATTAATACATGATACTGGTGTAGTAGTTACATCAATGACATTTGATGGTGCACCAGCTAATCTTCGAATGGCTGCCGAATTAGGAGCAGATTTCAATATATCTTCAATGAAAACTTATTTTCAACATCCTGTTACTGGAGATAATATATATTTGTTCCCAGATATATGTCACATGCTGAAATTAGTTCGTAACTGCTTGGGATCAGAAAAAATTCTAGAAAATGGAAATCAACAAATTAATTAATAATTAATTAATCTCAAAAAAACTGGTGTTGGAAGTCCTGGTCTCACTAATTAACGATTCCTTTTAAAAAGGTATATTTCCAGAGTACCTAAATATTTATTATTTCTCTTCATAAGGGTGGTAAAAAGTCAAATGTCTGCCACTATAAACCTATTACTTTACTACCGGTCCTAGCCAAACTTATTAAAAGATTTATAAAAGCCCGACTTATGTCCTTTCTCGTTGAAAACAACATTTTATCACGAAGTCAGTTCAGCTTTTTATCTAATAAATGTAGCAGTGATGCTAAGTTTTCTCTACTACATGATTTTTATCAAGCACTAAACAATCTTTATATTGCCACTGCTTTTTGTGACTACGCCAAAGCTTTTTGATTGTGTAAATCACATTTAGATAAAAAAAAAAACTAAATTTCTACGGAATTTGAGGTATTTCTTTGAATTGGTTCCAATATTGCTTGAGAAATAGGAAAAAATAGAGCAAGTGATACTGACTCTAGTCACAAGTATGTGGAGTACCACAAGGTTCAGTACTGGGTCCTCTACTTTTCGTTATCTTTATAAATGATCACTTAAACATCGATGTAAAATTTTTCTTTCTGCTGATGATACCACAGTATTACCTAGAGGAATTCTAATATTGCAACTTTTCATGCAATTATAACTTCTGATCAACTTAAAATAAAAACCTGGTCCGACTCTGATTTACTATCTTTTAACGTGAATAAGACAGTAGCATTATCCTATAAAGGAGCTCTTCAACCCTTGATTCTTAATAATAGCCGGATCAGTATCGTTGATTCTGTAAAATTTCATGGCATTTTTACAGACAACAACTTTAAATAGTTCCTGTATATCGATTTAAGTAAGAAACTAGTCTCAGCCTGCTATGCCATAAGATCGGTTTTAAAGGAAATCAATTTAGCATCTTCCAATAACATATTTTTCTTTGTTCGAGTCTCATCTACGAAATGGCGGTTCTAGTACAGCTGCTCAATCTAATGTTATTTTTAAATTACAAAAAAGAGCAATACGGTATCTTTTTGGACTTACAAGAATAACACATTGTAGAAGCTACTTCAAAAATCATGGGATTTTTACTCTTCCTTCTTCGTATATTCTAGAAACTGTTTTCTTAATTGGTAAATACCTACATATTTTTCCAACAAGACCCAATCTAAACCATACTCCACCAGAAATTCAACCTGTGTAATTATCGATCCCGTCCACTGACTTAGTAAAGAAATCTATTATATCCGGCAAAAAAATTATACAATTTCTCCCTTTGTAACTTACAAATTCTATCCTTAAGTTCCATAACATGACAAAAACCTATCTATCTGAAAGACGATATTATTCAGTGGAAGAGTTTCTTAACGAGTAACTAAAAGAAAATACAGTACGTTTAATATATATATATATATATATATATATATATATATATATATATATATATATATATATATATATAATATTTGGGTATCACATGCAGCAACCTAAAACTTATTCTCAAACTACTTCGTAAGGTTTTATTATGCAACAGTTAGATTTTGCAATGAATTCTATATTTTACTATCTTTTATTTTGTGATATTGACGATTTTTGTAATTTTACTAAATTTTAATTGTTATTGTTGTTTTTTTTTTAATTTTTGTAAGCTTTGTCCATGAAATTGTATAATTTTAAGTGAGAATAAAGCTATTTCTATTTTTGAACCCTACCCGTTCCATAAGGTTTAATGTGTTTTATATATTGTTGTATATGTGGTTTGTTGTTTATGTTTTGTTAAACAATGGTTTATGGTTTTATTACGTTTATTAATATTTTCTTAAATACATATTTCTGAATTTTTATCTTTCTTCTGTTTACTGCTATGTTTAAGGTGACATACTAATGTTGCCAATTAACAATTAAGCTGGATTTATATACCATAATTTACTATATTTTTTTAACTTATCACTAACTGGATAAGAGAAGAACATACTCAATACCCTGAACAGGTTAATGTGTGGGGAAGAATTTTTTAAACTTTTTATTGTTTGTGTGTTATTTTAGTTTAAATAAAATATTATATAAAGTAATTTACGATTTTATTTACTCCATCTTTATTCTTTTGTGTAAATTAATTTTTATAAATATATTTCTATACACTGAAAATTAAAATTATTCACCGTTTGTTGTTTCTCACTTATTCAAAATATTTCATATGTTTACGATACTAAAAATAAAAGCAATCAAACCAATAGTCATTATTTATTCAAGTGGAAAAACTGTTTCAAATAACTTTCAAATATTGAAAGGTACGCCGCTGGCTTAAAAGGGTAAGTCACAGTCTATCACCTCGTCTCTTTCCCCGCGCCTACAAACTTTTCGACTTCAAATTTAGGTGAACAGAGTGCAGATCATGCCTAGTCCATCTTTATTTATACGTCCATGGTTCAACTATTCAATACGAGTTCAAACCATATGTAACACTTATGATTTTATGTAGTCTGAAGGTCTTAAATACATAAGACAGTGCAAAATATGTAAATTTTAATAAATTTAAATATTTACATGTAGAATGCTGTGAGTTTGTCATGTCACACTATGTCAAAATCACAGCATTTACAATGTAAATGGTGGACATTTTTGTTCACCATTTACATTATAACTAACTCGTAAAACTGACAGTAGTTGTTGTATTTGAAAAGTTCTGCAATTTAAATAGCTTCTCTATGTCGTTCTTGAGGAGAAGTACAAGATAGATACCGATCAGGTAGACCGAAACGAGTTATGAATGACAACAAAACTTAGAAATAAGCAAAGTTTTGTAAAGATCCACATACATCCTCAGCAGGGTT